AAGGGAGGGGGAAGAAATAACTGTACATGTGGAAATGATTTAATTTAATTTGATTATTTTTTTTTTTCTCGCGGACCAGATTTAATAGCTCCATGGGCCAAATTTGGAAACAGGATCTGGATACGAGATCAGTTTAGCAAGTTGATCACGTTTCTATCATTAACCAATCACATGTACTCATTTTCAATTTCCAGTTACCTATTGGCTATCATCACCATTGTGATCTGGATTGGGGATTTTCTTGTATGAACGCAAGGGCGAGCGTGCATGTTATTTATCTGGATCCTGCTGACTGTTAGATGTTGTGTGTGTACATAGCCTTATTGGTTACGATGATGAGGGTCACAAGGTCAAATCCTCTCATTACTAAAAATAAGTCCATAATTAACATCAGTTAATTAATTACAAGGGATGCTGTCAGAAGAAAATGTAACAGATGAATAATAATAGTATTAATAAAACAACATTTACATATCACCTCATAGATCTAATGTTATAAATGCTACATGTACAGAAACATGTGATTAAAAAAAAATGTTATAGATTTTGTTTAAATGTCATATGTCCCCCAGAGCCCTTGTGAATGATTAGACGGAATAATGCTTCAAAGAATTGTGTTCATTGGGAAATAAATTGCTATCAAAATGACAACATTCCTTGAATAAATTAGCCATTTCTATATTCAGAATTCCCTTGATATATTTATTTATAACTGCAATTTGTTAATTTGTTTCTATTTCAACCCTAAAACTCATTACTAGAAAAATAAGTCAGTTTAAACAAAGTTCATTTTTCTTTCTTGATTATTAATGTGTGTGTAACAATCATATGATATATTTGGTCACATGATAAGTCATGCAAATCTGTGGTTTTAAACATATATATATATAATGTCTGGTTAGTGATCATGGTTAGATATATATCAAACTTCCTAGCAAAAAATAAACCATCTTAAATCCATGGGTTTGCTGAAGTTGGATTTATCAGTCATCTAGCAAAAATATTTGCTTAAATTCATGTTTATTTAAGAATAGGAAAATACATTGCATTAAGCTTTTTGCATACTATCAAATTTTCTTTGACAACAAACTGTTGTATGCCCATATATAGTCATGATGTGCCTATATATGGTCATGATGTGATGTCGTCTTGACCATATTTAGGCATGTCGCACGTTTTTGTCAAATAAAAGTTAATAGTCTGGGCAAGGCGTATTAGATAAACATTTTTATCCTATCTCATTGCAGACCGTCTGGATTACACTTTCCCGTGCGAAAAACCCAAAGCATGGTTTCGAAAAGGTTACATTCTCATAACCCCTTGAATAAAAATTGCGAAAAAAAAAAAAAAATTCAGAAAAATAGCCATATTGCTAAAAATTTTTTCTATTAGCAAGAAATGATGTAACCATAATGTTATTCTCTCTCTGCTCTTTCACCATTAGAAAAAAAGTAATTTAGCATACCATATGTGCATTTGTGCGATTCAAAAATTTTATCCAGTGTACATGTATACATCAATTTTTTTTTAAGTTTAAGTTTATAACTGCAATTCTAAAATTGCATTATATGCTTACATCAAATAACACAAAATTACTTTTTAATGATATTTTTAGGCCCATATAATTATGCTCATTTCATCTGTCTACCATGTATTGAACAAGTGGAATAAATTGAATTGAGTATTGAGCAGTAGGCAATTTTTAAGGCTAATACAATGTTATAATTTCTTGTCTTTTTTTTAAAACATTTTTTAAGCAAAGTTTAATAAATCAAATTCAAGGTATTTATGAGATAAAGCAGTTATAGTTTATATGATGATATTACATGGTATTTTTAAATAATTTATTTATTATATTTATTATTTTTATTATTTTTTATTTTGATAATTTTCTTTGTAATCCTAAGAAATTGTTTGCACCTCCGCCACCCTTAAATCGCCAGAAACAGAGGGAAAATTTTTTTTTATTGTTACAAATATTTTTAACAGATTTTATTATACATTAATTTAATTTTTTTTTTTTTTTTTAAAGAAAAAAGCACTTGTTCAGCATTTTAAAGGTTATTTTAAAATTGTGTTTTTGTTTAAATTCTTTTTTATACCAAATTGAAAAAAATCGCTTGTTTAGCATAAAATCCATTTCAAAAAATAGATACTGGTTCTAGTTGCTGATCCATGAAGCTGGGCTAAAAACTACGGCCCTTTACCTAAGCCTACCAGTAATCGTAGGGAAAAGATACGTCTTAATTGATTATAACCCAGATTTCAACAATAATTATTTTGTTATGTTTGCTTTCATTAAAATTTTACACTGTATCCTTAATCAGCAACAATTATTAAGTTCTAAGTTAAGAAGTCATTATTTATTGTTATTATTTATTATTTATTACACACCTAAATTAGAGGAAGAAAGAGTAAAGAAAGGAGATGGAATGGAAGAAAAAATTATTATCACTTTTGGTAGTTACGGTTATTATTCTTCAAATGACAAGGACCTTTTTTAGGTGTGTTTCAAATTTAAGGCCAACAAATGAACATGTCTTAAGTGCAGTGGCTGAGTAATTCACTGGACTTTGGACTGCTCCATTCGGCATGTCGAGTTGGGCAGCCCACCTCTTGCTTGTGGCATATTCCTTCCATTGTATGTTTACTTTTCAATCATTTTAAATTTAAATTTTTGCATCTATTCTTTGTTTTCTGTGAAATGTGTTCTTGTTATTTGGATGCACCACCATTGCATCTTTCGGAAGAGTAGGCGGCTCCCCTGTCGTCGTTGAATGATGTGAACATGTAGCTACTATAAGCGCCTCTTTATTGCCGTTAGGTAGTCACGGACCACGCCCATACGTAATTCAGCACAATGACACTCCAAGTTATGGGTTATTCTCCTACCTTTACTGTTTGGCGTCTCTGAAGGGATTTTCTTGCAAGATTGTTGCCGGTTCACTCAAATAGGGTTTTTGATTTATCTTTTGCGGGTCGCAACAAAATTGCCGTCTGGCCTCTTGTGGCCTACAGGCCGCATTTTGCCCACCTGTGCCATAGATGATATGATGTTATATTAAGCGAGCTAAAAAAAAAAATTCTGCTTACTAAAAAAAGCATTTTTTTTTTTTGTTCTGTTTTATATTTTTATAATCATATGATCACATTAAATTTGTATTATGATCATGTGATTATATTCTGATCATGTGATTAAAATAATTGCATGACTACATTCAATTTTTATGTAATCATATGATTGTATTAATGTGATTATATTTAAATAATCACATTAAATGTTTATGTGGTTATTATATAAACATGATCATCATATTGATCACTTTTACAAATTTGATCATGTGATTATATTCTTAAAATAATCACATGACCATAATTTGATCATGTGATTATATTCTAAAAATAATCACATGACCACATTCAATTTTTATGTGATTACATTAATATAATCACATTAAATGTTTATGTGGTTATTTATAAACATGATCATCATATTGATCACTTTTACAAATTTGTGTGATTAATCTTTTAAAATAATCACATTACCACATTCAATTTTTATGTGATCATGTGACTATATTAATATAATCACATTAAATGTTTATGTGGTTATTTATAAACATGATCATCATGTTGATCACATTACATATTTATGTGATCATGACACATGTGTTTATGTGATCTCATAAACACATGGCAATGTTATTATGTGATGAATAGTGGGTTTACATGATCATGTGAACATTGTGCCTGTGTTTGTATTTATATAATCATATATGATCACATTAAATTTGTATATGATCATGTGATTATATTCTGATCATGTTATGATTTTATTCTTAAAATGCATTATGTGATCATGTAATTGTATTAAAATGATCACATTAAACATTTATGTGTTTATGATAAATATCATATTGATCACATTACAAAATTATGTGATCTTGAGATTATGATGTTTATGTGATCTCATAAATACATGGCAATTTGATTATGTGATGAATGGGTTTATATGATCTTGTAAGTAATATTATTTGATAATGTATCATCACATTTCATGACCACTTACTGTATGCTGAAGAAAATTGTAACATAAGCATATTTGTTTTGTAGAGTTGATATAACCATGATAAAATATTAAAAAATATATACAGTATTTTTATGATTTTGTTTTTATAGCACACAGTCTGGATATTCTGGAGAACATGATGCCTACAACAATTATGGGTAGGAAAATGCATCACTTATCTTCATAGTATTCCCTTTCCCTGTATTCATAGATTCCTGATCATGAGGTCTACAACAGTTTTGGGTATGAAAATGAATCACTTTACTTCATAATATTTCCTCCCCCGTGTTCAGTGGTTCACGATTATGATCAGGTCAGAAACTGAGTCACTTATCTTCAAAGTGCTTCCTATCCCCATATTTAAGGGTTCTTAATTCTGAGGCATACAACAGTTTCGGGTAAGAAAATTTATCACTTAACCGTGTTCCCTTCCCCGTATGTATTCTGAGGCTCTGGATCCTAGTCGTAAATTTTTTTGGTATGAAAATAGATTACTTAACTTCACAATGTCCCCCCTCCCTGACTCCGGTCAGTGTCCAGAAACTGGTTAATTATTGGGAATTTTTTTGCTGTTTTAAAAGGTTCTAAATCTTAAGCTCGGTTTCCATACAATTGCTACACGCTACCCCAAACAGCTTTCGGTGATGCTGATTGGTCGGTCGAATCGGGGAGCCTTCCCATTTGCGCCGGGGACTGCTATAGGCAGTACAATGATTGCACTGAAAACACTGTAGCGATAGTGTGTCGATTTCAAGGAACCAGGCTGTATACTCCTGGTTCTGCAAGATGGCTGATGAGTGACTGGGAGTGTCTGACAAACAGCTAAAGCCTCCATAACCTCCTACGACCACTACTGCCTATCGCAATAAAAGTTTTTTCATTTATAAATTTTGTTTAGTAGTTCTGACCAAGATGGAGGGAATCCGTTTGGGGATGATGAGATGAACGGTGACGGGGTCGAAGTGAGGGCGCTGTACGACTACCAAGGAGCCGAATCTGATGAACTAACGTTCAATCAAGGTATTTTTATACATGTACTTGATTGTTGACTGTCACGTCAATATATGCTGTCTCTGCAGTGCTAATAAACTTAAACATACGATTTTTATATTTGAATTGGTTGCTCTGTATATCTTGGTTTATGCTTAATAATAGTGACAGTACTGTATTAGTAACCCATACTCTAACAGGCAGTGCGAGTGAAGCTCGGGTAATAGAAAAACCTGTTTCTTCTTTGGAGTGTTTCTGCTGTAAAGCTTGTATTTGATGTTGAATATAGTTGGTTGGAATGCCAGTAAACTATACCAAGTTAATTGGAAATTGAAATTGAGAGTTTTGCCGTAATGGTTTGCTAATGCTACAAAAGGTACTGGCCCCAAAAATTGAGATTTTTAAAAATAAGCTAAGCCTAGGGCACTGCATATCTACGGCTTGTTGAGGTATGCACGTAAGTCTTCGATCCGCGAACTGCGATTTTGACACACTACGATTTCTAGGCTAGTTAAGGTTTACAAGGGATCACATAGATTCCAAAGCGTAGAAAGCACAGAGAATGCTAGAATAAGTAAATAAACTCTATTTAGAACAATCGCAGTGTCTTCCTTTGCCAGTTATTTCTTACCTTATTGGTGGGCGGTTCTTTTCGCAACCATTTTTTATAACATTACCGTTTCCTATACTTTAACACTGATTGCACTGTAAATTCTCCATAGTAATACCCGCTATATGTCACGTGTTGCAGACAAACCTCGCGGAATGTGTCTATTGTAACCCACCCTAAAAAACAATCAAAGGAATACAGGGCATATGCTGGTTTCTGCCCCCCAAAAGGGGTGGGGGGGTGGTTTTGAAAATTGAGAATGTGGAACTAAATCCTTATTCCAATGAAAACTTAATGGAACTAATTTGCCGCCCTGGGGGTTGCGTCCGCACTCCCAGCCTATGTCCATGGAATAGTAATTTTAAAATGAAACATAATAATAACGATAAATTTTAATATCTCTCAGAATTCAGATTCAGATTCAGTAACATTTATTTCGTAATGGTCATAAGAAAGAAAAACATACATACGAAAATTAAACCATCACAGGGATCAAAACTAGAAGTAAAACTTGTCTCATATTGACCCCTTATTAAAAAATTATTAAATTACTAGTGATGTTCCCGACAATTTATATCTATCTTGCTTTGCTGTAAGAGCCCCCTTGTGATATATAGTTGAATAAATAAATTTTTTAAGAAACCTAATAAAATATTAATTCTTAACTCATAGTTACCTTACCTTACCATTTCCATCCAAGACACTCTCTTTCCTTTTCAATAGTCCTCCGCCACGTTGTTTTAGGGCAACCAACTCTTCTTTTCCATTCAGGTTTCCAAGTTAATGCGGTGTAACTGATTTTGTTTTGATCCATTTGCAATGCGTGTCCAAGCCATTTCCATCTACAAGACATGATTTCTGTACTTATTTTCTTAGAATTTGTTTTCTGTAGAATTAAATCATTTCGTACAATGTACAGCCATCTGATTTTGAGGATTCTTCTTAAGCACTTGAATAACTCATAGTTATCTCTTAATAATTCATTATTATTGGCAGAATAAAAAGACTGACAAAAGTAAAAAATCTGGAAAAACATTGAAGCAGTGAGGCTAATGTTTGTGTGCATGAGAATTAGCTGTATTTTCATGATAACTTTGTTTGACGTCATGTTTGCTATGAAGTATTATCTTATCTTATCATTGTTATGATAATTATTATAACACTGTTTTTAAATTTTTAAGGTGACATCATCACCAAGCTGGAAGATGAAGACGAGCAAGGATGGTGCAAAGGTCGTATTAACGGGGTAGTTGGTCTTTACCCGGCAAGTTACGGAGAAGCAATCAATTGATGATGCTGAAACGGAAAACACTGAACTAATACCAGCAACATGTTTTACTCCAACCTATAATTTATATTTACTGTTAATTGTTTATATTATAGCGCTATAAATGTCGCATTATTTTTGTTTTTGTTATTATTATAATTATTATTATATTGATATACTGTAAGCCCTTTAATTTTTATGGTTATTAAATTTTTTACGAATTCTACGAATCATCATTATTTGTAAAAAATATATGGTTGTAGAATATGTAAAGCTGTCTACCTGCAAGGGTATTCAAAACCACATTTTGGACAGCTAAACATGTTATTCCAGCCTAAAACGTTTTGTTCAATCTATGTCAAATTATACAAATATTTATTTATTGGAAATAGATTCTTGTTATTTAAAGTTATATTTTGAAAAAAAATCAAAACAATTAATAAAAATATTTAAATAGATGTTAAAACATCTGATATATAGACATTCAACGCAGAGGGCATATTGTTTATTTAATGCAGTGACAAGTTGACAATAAAATTATAAACTTCAGCAGCCAGTTATCAGGTTGAAAATTTAAATTTTTAATTTTTCAATGCTTGTAATATGAAATAAAAAAGTTCTTTTGTCTAGCCCCCTGATCGTAAAAATTATGAACCATAAAAGATACAGGATAGGATATAACATTTAAGGGGATTAAAGTATATCTATGGATCGATTGGATACACCTTATTATTTAATGATTGGCAAAAAATAAACAAATTTGTTTTCATTTTATGTAAGTGATGTCTTTTATTACATTACATTGATATTTATTCGATTGATTTATACAATATGTTGTCAAAATAATCTTTTAATTATTTGATATAGTATAATAATTGATCTTTTAATCGGATGCAGATTATGTTAAATATTATAATTTATATTGCTATCTATTGATTTTTGGAAGAAGATTCTTTATCCTGATTTAAGTTTGCAAATTTTGACCAATTAGTCAATTTTTAAATATTTTTTTTAAACTCCTGTTTTTATATTGATAATTTAATACTGATTTAACCAATGATTATATATTTTTGAAGTCCGATATATTTTCAGAACATTTTCCAATATCTTACTAAAGATAAACTGCGGCTTCCCTCTTCCTTCCCCTCCCCCTCCCCCCACCCCTTCACCTAAATTTTTGCAAGATTCTGGCAAATCCAATCTGCAAGAATTTATATTTATATTTTAAGTGCACAATATGCATACCCTTACTGTATATCATCTAAAAATCTAATATTTTTATAAATATCTTTAAATAATAGTCGATAATTAACAAGAAAATGTATAATGGGTAAAACAGATAGTAGATCTGGGTTTAATGGTTGGATATGTATGGGAATTAGAAAAAAAAGTTGTATAAATATTTTGATTTGTCTGTTATATTCATAAAAATATAGTTAAGTTAAAAAATAATTATATATTGGTAAACATTTTGATGTCTGCTTACTGAATGTTGAAGCTGAATATTTAATATTTTATTGACTTGTTTTATAACATCTTGTTTGTTGTCGTGGAGACAGATTAGAATTGTAGGTGTGGCTCATACCCTTATACATTAGAGAGAAAATTGCTACCATATTTGGAAAAACATCACTAGAAAAGAACCAATGGAAGTTGTTGTGGAAAAGGTTAATATTCAGGTGATCAATGAAAGAAATAGATTTGGATTCTGTTATTAATATGATATTATATTTTAATATATTAATCTATGTATTGATGATAAATACAATTTTTTTTCATCTCATACAATTGTACATTCTTTGAAATTTGATATTCCAAAAGTTCAAAATCTTTTGATAATAATTTTAGGAGAATAGTCCGTTTTAATTTATACTATATTTAACCAAATCCATGATTCATTGAAAAAAAAAACCACCGTACATTATCATATATTTAGGTGAAAACTCTTGGTAAGAAAGGACAGACTGGGTATATGATCTCATGTCTGCTATCTAAAACTAGATAAATGTTCTCATGGTCTCTAATCTCCTGGCTAAAAACTATGATTATGAGAGCATGAGACAAGTTACCTAGTTGTGAACTAGGAGATAAATGGTCTCGTGGTCACATCCCCTGGCTCAAAACATATCTAGTATTAATGTCTTCATGGTCTCATCTTTTGTGAAAAAGGTAAAATGGTCTCATCTGTCATGTAAGGACTAAGAAAAATGATCTCATATAGTATTCCATAACTGAGGACTGGGTAAAATTATGGTCTCATCTTCCTGTCTCTTATACACATCTAGATGTGTATAAGAGACAGGCTAAACATGTTATTCCAGCCTAAAACGTTTTGTTCAATCTATGTCAAATTATACAAATATTTATTTATTGGAAATAGATTCTTGTTATTTAAAGTTATATTTTGAAAAAAATCAAAACAATTAATAAAAATATTTAAATAGATGTTAAAACATCTGATATATAGACATTCAACGCAGAGGGCATATTGTTTATTT